GTATTCCAATGTGTGGTAACAGTGGACTGCCTATATTGCAAGCTAGAGTCTCGCTTTTTACAGTTTCATTGCAGCTTTTCATATTATCTGATTAGTACTGCAAACATTGTACCATAAGAAACGTCTCTAATGGACTAAATGTTTCCCTTTTCTGCTCTCTAAAGGTCTGCAGTGCTAATGAACTAGACATGGAAAGTCCTCTCTGTCAGTGCCTCCACATTTGCCTAGACAAATGTGAAGGCAGGCTCAAGGTGCACTGCCTCTCTTTAGTCTTCAGTAGCAGCTAAAACCTCACAAACATGGATTTCCCGCCAACAGAAGATGCACCTGGGAGACGGTAAGTTTTTTTCTTGTTTTTAAATGCTGAAAGCAACCTATGGCAGAAAGAAATTATGGCAACCCTGGAAAGTCTGATCCTCTTTTGTGCTAACATGTTGACTTGAATTGCAGGCTGCTCACAGACAGTGTGTTTGTGAGGAAGAGGAGGAGGTGACGACGTGACAGCCGCAGGACAACCAGGCCAAAGCTCCATTGAGGACAAGACTACACCGATCCCCACTGGCCTCATTGGTAGTCTGACTCCATACATAGAGAGCACTTGTGATTACTTCCCAGTAATCTATGGTCTCATCTCAGGGGTCAGGAGTCAGTTGACTCCTGTTTCACTTTCTCTGTCACTTTCCACCCATTGCACTCTCCGGTCCTTCAAACCCCCTCTTCTTCTTTGTCCATTTGATCCCAAACTCATCGCACTGTAAGTACAGCGACTAGAGGACTGTCGGAGGAATCACATATCTCAAGATGACTTCATCACTCTGAAACATGATTGCTGAAATTGAGGGACAAGTGGGACTTCGGTGAAGACTCCTGGATTCTGTTACTTTCAGAAGGCAAGAAGAATCTTCCGGACGGACAAAACCAACATGCAAAGGTAAGCACTTCAGAAATGGTCATGTTTTTCACATTTAAATTCTATTGTCAGGATTTGTGGGTAACTTGATTTGCAGGAATAATAAAGTCCCATTTACCTATTCAGCCTACTTAAACTCATTGACATATTTTAGACATTAACCTTCAGTAGACTTTTTAGGAGGCCAAATACAGATGAGGGAGGAACCTTTAAACTTAACTAATACATTTTACCTACTTGTTTAGACTGACACAATTTGTTAATTAGGGTTAGGTCATCGGTTATAAGGTCATAGTAAGTGATGACTCTTCTAAAACAGAAACAATCAAGTATAAGAATGAGTTTAGATGATAGTACTGTAAACTGCTATTTAAACAGGTCTGTCAGAGTCAGGGCCAGAACTACCACTGAGGACAATGAGGTCATTCCCTCTTTATTTTTTCTGGAACCTTCAGGTATTTAGCAACCTTGAGCAGTTTATATTCTACAGTTAAAAAGTAAAATGTTTTTATGCTAATTTCAGCACTTTTAGACCCTGCCCAGTGACGGCAGTGTCAGCAGCTGGAATCGGGCCAGTTTATTCAGGGCGTCATTCACCCCGAGTCTTAGCTGAGTTGGGCAGTCAGATCTGGCCGACTTATTTCTTTCAGCGAGATGAGTTTGGGCTGAAGCTGAGTCATGAATTTGGCCCAGTGATGGCAATGTCGGAAGCTGGAATTGGGCCAGTTTATTTGGTCCGATTCTGGGGCTTTATTCATCCAGAATCTTAGCCTAGTTTGGGCTGACGCTGATTCCTGGAAGTGTGAAAAGGCAAATAAAGTGGCAACACTTTTATTGACCAGACTGTAGTATCCTCTTGAAATGATAGGAAGTTTGTGGGAAAAACTATGTAACCTAGTACAAATGACAGAAAAACAGATGCAAGGTTAGTTAGGTTAGAATTTCGTTATACGTCTTGACTTTCAGAGGGAGTTCCTTTTGAGAATTGTTCCATTTTAAATTTAACTTGAATCACAGAAATTTGCACATCTAACAATGAACCATCCAAATAATAAAGAGACCTTTACAGGAATGGGCTTTGACGTTTTGGTGTTTTTCTTTTATATCCAAGGTAATGGATATTACGAGTACATTTCCTGTTTCAGAACTAAGAACACTACAATAGAATAAAGATCATTTGGCTATACAAAAAGAAGACAATCATTCTGTGGGTCTACAAAATCGGGCTTTCCTTCAGTGTCTGTGGAGCAGCTCCAGATTTTATGCCAGGGATGTCCAAAGTTTTTTGAATGGGAGCCAGATCAGATATTGTGAAAATGCCTCGGGGCTAGCTGCTTCTCGCATCAAACGTTTTATTAAAAAAAAAATCCCACACAAATGAGACAAATGCAACTGTTTCATCTTTCAGTGAGAAAGTATTCAACTTTCTACTGCCCCCTAAAGCGGTGCCCTTAGAGTTGATTTTACGCTTCTTTGCTGTGGCCATGTCTGCTACCCAGCCGTGTGCTGTTAGGTAACCGTTCGTGTGCTGTTTATGAAAACACATCAGTTCTGCCTGTGTAGTTCATACCTGGTGCATGTCTACAAACTGTGTGATAGTCCTGCCATCAATAGATGAACAGGAAAAATGTTAAGTAATCCTGCTTGATTAATCAACATTGTGTGGTGGGCCACACATAGTGTATTTTGAGCAATGAGCCCCGAGCCAAATGAACAAAAGCAGCTCATGTTCACAGCTATTGATTGAACTTTCCTAGACCATGAAATTACATATTGGAACTCTGAAGGTGTCCTCACATATAGTCCTTTTAAAACAAACCAAACCCAGTCCTCTTAAAGTGGACCAAAAAGTGGACCAACAGAAACAGGGACTCAGTCCTTTTTGTGTTCATATTGTCAGTTCATCTGAAAGTGAACTCCAAACAGGCACTGCAGTGTGGTTATGAAGCCCCTCACTTTCAGATGAACTTGACATTGGAGGAAAACCTTAGCGTTTGTGTACTGTAGACTGTTGCCGTTTGATGTATTCAACACTCCACATCTGGAGATGTGCAGAATCTTCCATGGACCACACCACTCCTTGTCCTGCGTCCTTGCAAGTGTTACAGGTAGACCAATGTGGTTTCGTCTGTTTTTCCTGGCGTCCCAGTGCAATAGCATGTGATCTAGAGCAGTTGTTCCCAACAGGCGGGTTGCGGTCTAAAAGTGGGTCATGGGTCCATTGTGAATGGACCGCAAGTGACTTGCAAACATGTCAAGTTTCTTTCAAACACTCTTTATGTTGAATTACAGTGCATTTCTAGCACAGAGCTTTTACTTTGAAGTGCTTTGTTTCCTGCTGTAGAGTGAATGATTATCGGATATCGGACAGGTGCTTGACAGAGACAGCAAACTAGAGCTCTTGACGAAGGAGAAATCTGGACCCTGTGGCTATACCAGTTGAGAACCACTGATCTAGAGGGCTAAATACATGGCAAAGGGCAAAGCGAACCAAGAGTGCTTTGTGTTAACAGTGCACAGGTTAAGCGAGCCGCACTGTGGACTTGAAGTGAGGGGACTTCAGAAGGGCCTGAGTTCTCTTGGAGTATTCACATATGTGCATAAAAATGCTGAGTCACCGCTCTGAGTCCGTTTAGAGGGTTGAAAAGGACCAAGTGTGAAAACACCCTTTACTTAGGGCCTGTTTATACGGTCCCGTATATTTCTGAAAACGGGTATTTATCGTTGCGTTTACACCTATCATTTACACATAACCAGCAACCAGATTTTCAAAAACGGCTTCCAAAGTGAAAGTTTTAAAAAAATATTCGTTTCTGTGGAGATGTGTAAACAGGATAGACGGAGATTTTGGAAAACAATGACGTTGCAACCCAGTTCACGCCTGCCCATTAGGCGCCCGGTAACCACAACGACAATGGCAGATATGTTGTTTACGTTTTGTTAGCACTTCTGGGACTCACAAGCTTACAAATGAATTTAGCACTGCTGCATCAACATCACCACTATACTGGCGCACAAGGACATCTGCTGTGCCCATTATTAGTAAGTGCATAGCAGCTAACTATGCTACGTAAGGTTAAGATATAGTTTATCATTGTTTTTATCACTAGCGCCAAGAGGAAAACAAATCACTGTGCATGTACAGAATGTTCTTCTATGGTGTTTGACATATTGTGTATCGCTACCTACTGGCCCAGCATGCTAATTGCAGCAGGGATATTGTTTTCAAAACTGATCGTGTAAACCCGGATTTTTTTTATTTTTTTTATATGGGATAAATTATTTGTATCGCTGTCCGTGTAAACAATAATTTATGTGGTGTTCCCCTTAAAAAAAATCACCAGAATGATAGAAATTATGCAGACCCCAAGAACCCCCCATTTTAAATTGGTGTTTACGGCCCTGCTAATGGGGTATTTTTACATTGCCTATGCATTCAAGCATTTTGATATGCTTGAGTAGAGGAGATGTCTGCAAAACTTCTTTGCCTTCACAAGTACTACTGTTGGGTGTGCAAAGTATCCAGTGGGCCTGATTGGACCCTTTGGTGGGCCGGTTCTGGCCCCCGGGCCATATGTTTGACACCCCTGGTTTAGAGGGCTGAAGACACTCTTAATTTAGGCGATGTTCCCCTTTAAAAATTCACCAGGATGCTAGAAATTAGGTGGACCCCAGGAACCCCCCTTTAAAATTGGTGCTGCTAATGGATTATTTTCACATTGCCTTTGCATTCAAGCATTTTAATATGCTTGAACAGAGGACATGGAGGCAAAACTCTTGCACCAAAATAAGAGGCAGATGGAACAGGACAGTGATCATATTATGAGTCCACTGGGTAATTTACAGTAATGCTCAATGACATTATAATGAGGCCATTGTTTACCCACGTGTTTTATAATTCACTGTGCATATTGCAGCCACAGGGCGGTGGTAGGAGGCGGCTGTGTTTCCGTGCTGCTGCCTCTCCAGCATCACTCACCGCTAACGGCCCCTTTAAGAACACGGCACCGAACACTGACGAAATTTCCTCGGCTCGGCCCTGCTCCCTGCCCGTTTCTGCGAAATCAGACGGAGGCGAGCCAGTATCTGCAAGCTCCAGGCCGTAACGGTGCTGGTCAGGGCAGCTCTCTCCAGACAGGAGGAGGAGGGGGAGAGACGCAACTGGTATTTTTTTCTCCTCAGTGTTTCCCTGCTTAACCGCTCCACACAGACGATATTTAGTCGGCGGAGAGAAACAAGCAGATATCGCTGGGATGGATGGACCAAGTGAGCAGCTCTCGCCGTGAGACTGGCGCTAATTTGGACGTCCTGAGCAGCAGGTGTACTGAAGGATAAAACAGACTACAGGGAATCTCAGTGTTCATGAAACTTTGCTACGATTTACGTGCTGGGTAAGACTTGTTCCCCCCTTTATATTCTTCTTAAAATACCTATTGTTAGGGAAGAATTGTTAGGGTATTGTTTAATCTCAACCGCCTGTCTCACTGTTTCGTCGGGGTCATCCAAAATGCGGATTAGTGAGCTCTCACGCTGTGTATGTTACAGATGTGAGAAAATGTCCGACCGTTTGTGGGGGTTATTAACAGTTAAACTCGAGGCCTAGCTAACTTCATAGCGTTTAATTCAGTCGCTAAAACATAATGTGAATTCAGCAGTACCGTTTGGCCTAGCTAACGCTAAACTGGAGGGAGTCGTGAACATCAAAGTCTAACGGTCGTCCGCTGCTAGTTCAATGTTATTAGTAACGCCTATTGCTGCTTTTTTGTATTTTCCGCACTTAAACACCCCATAATAACCATTTCACATACATATTATATAGCCTAGCTGCTTTATGTTAATATTTTAATAATATTTGGGCATACACTCGGTCAGCTTTTCATTCATGTAGACGTGAAACCTAAAATCCATCACAGTCAGTGACCGACATTAACCGTTATTTTATTTTCATGTCAAAGTTACATAATGCACCTGAAGGCGCATACTGATTTGAAAAGTACAAGTGTGGTGTGTTCACTGACACCTAGAAGCTCCGAGATCTGAGAGTTGATAGCGCTGTCCTAAAAAGGTGCTGTGAAAATTAAAATTAATTCCCCATTTCTGTCAGTGGGGAAGTGGGGACAAGTATTGGTTTCCTGGCCTGGATTGACCCCGCCAATTGGTGTCACTTTGTCCCCATTGTTCATCTGATTTCAGACACAGAGGGCAGATTGACAGATCGTTAAGGAAGTATTGATTGATTATATCCTTGTTTATATAACTGCATGGTGAATTAATAGCAGTAGAGTAGGAGGGATGGTGCATTGAAGGCAGTGTGTGTGAGTAAACTTCACCTCGCCACGTCTGGTCAATTCAGTTTTATTGATAAAGCACAATATCACAAATCACAATTTGCCTCAGAGGGTTTTACAGCATACAACATCACTCTGTCCCTGGACCCTCACAGCTAATAAGTAATAACCCTTTAACAGGGAAAATGGTAGAAACCTTAGGAAGAGCAACTGAGGAGGGATCCCTCTTCCAGGATGGACAGACGTGCAATGGATGTCGGGTGTACGGAGCAGATCAACATTATAAATTTACAGTAATCCACATGACAAATTGAGAGAGACAGAGACCGAGAGAGACAGAGGCATCAAGGTCGGGCTGTTCCCTAATCCAGGACGGCACTGAACTGATATCATCCTTTTCAAAACCTGGGAAAGCTGTTTTGAAAACATCATCTTGATCCAGCCTTGAATGCACCGCAAGGGCATGCTGGTACTGTCTCTGCAAGATAATTATGATTTTAAGAGTTGTGATGTACTCTGGCGTTTTTTAAAAAGAGCCCATGACAATTCTATTATGCCTCAGAACAAAGATGAAATGTGGAAGAAAGAGAAAAGGGACAAATCATCTGTTTTTTTGTCATAATTTGCACATCAATTGTGTTTATAATAACATTAGCGCCAGGCATATTGTGCACCTGACTTGTGTAAAAACACAAACTAACCATTCCAAAGCTGCACAGACAGAAAAAAATACCTCGGACATGATGTTGGCTTTGAAAAATGCACGCTATAACTGACTTTTATCCTTGTTCAGCCAACTACACATCGCCCAGAGGGTTGCATTAGTGGGCTAGATAAAAGCTAGTGCATTCTTCTTGTTCCTACCATGTCTTTATTGTTCTTATCTCCTAATCTGTTGACTGGGACTCGAGCACAACCCTCATCTAGCCTTCAACTATAAACAGAGCAGAATATGTCTAATAGGTCTAATTAAAGTCCTCATATCTGCACTCTCCTCCCTTCCTCCCGCTCCATCCCCAGGGTTGACATCAAATAAAAATGCGAGGCTTGATGAAAACATTTACAGAAACATTGTGCATGCAGATTGAGGCTTGTGTTCCAACTTAATAAGGATGTGGATACTTTGTGAGTGTGTTTATGAGGCAGCTTGGTTGCTGAAGTGATACAAAAGTTGCCTGGGCTAATTAGAAAATAGTATTGTTTTGTCTTCTAAGTTGGAACAGCAACTGGCAGCATACTTTGTTTTACTACAGGCAGTTGTTATTCAGCATGGCAGTAGCCTGATGCTTTTTTCCTCTGACCATCTGTTGCCTGTCTTTTCACTATGAATGCAGGAGCTGAACAAAAGTTCGAGCGACTCCTTGGTGCATTCTGGTTAATTCTGGCAAATGAGATATCTACAAGTCATGATAATCTCTTTCTCCATCTCGCATTGTCTTAAGAAACTTGTCGAAGTTAAGATTAGCTCTACAGGTGAGCCTCCTGTTGTTTCTGCAGAAACCAAGCACCACAGATGATGATGGCAGGATGGCCTTACATGGGTTTATACAGCACTTTAGAGTGGAGCAATTGCAAAAGGAAATGAGGTTTGCATCAGTCACCAAAGCGGAAACACTACACTGTGGCATTTCCAGCTAACAAGCTGTTATTGTGAACTTTCTGTCATTTGAAAACAAAACCTGGCTGCCTAATGTCCCAGAAAATACAGAAAGTGGCCTACTTGTGCGAATGCTCTTGCCTGCATTGTACTCAACAGTACAGTACACTACAGTATGCAGTTGTTTCCACTGACCCCCCTTCCTTTCATGCATGGCTGATGGGCAGCAGTTATATAGGACGTAACTGTAGAAAGAGATACTCGTGTCTCATGTGGCTATACCATGCCAGTGTCCTCTTATCAGTGCAGATAACCAGGGGTGATAGGAAGGCCATTCACCTGAATAGTTATTAGAGTAAGATGAGTGTGTTTGTGTGCACCTGGGAGCATTAAGGCTTATTACACTGCCATTCAATTTACGTTATTAGCCCAACAAATTGATGCTCCGATGGAAATAGCCATGCCCTGACGCTAATACATTAAAGAATGTGAGGCCTGTAATAGCACTCATAAAAAATGCATTACGGTTTCCTACAACAAGGATACACTGTATATCTGAAAACAGTGTATGCTATACTTGCAATCTTGGCTTGTGATCAGTGTAGCGTTGTGAATACTGTAGGGCCGCTCGGCTAGAAACGGAATTACTTTACAAGGTGCTAGAGGGCAAAAAGAGTCCATGGACCAAAAATGAATCATCAACTATTTTTCAGCACAATTTGGAAAATACATGGTGCCTCTTAAATGATTCCTTATTTCACTCTTATTATAGTATACTGAATTTCTTTGGAATTCAGGGTTGTTGGTCGGACAAAACAGGACATCTCACCATGGGCTGTGGCAACTTGTGATGAAGCTATTTGCCGATATGACCAAAGGATTAATTAATTATTAAAAAGTAGTTGCTAGATTAATCAATAACAAAAATTATCGTTAGATGCAGCCCTGCTGTGATCACACTCCCTTAACTATATTGATTTTAATTCATTTTAACAACAACAACGGACATTTTAAGTGCATGTGTCTTTAATGACAGTTTTGTATTGCATTTTAGGGATGTCAGTTTTTGTTCATTTTGCTTTAGCCCAACATCCATTAACCAATAACTATTAAATAAGCAATTAATTTTTAAGGAAAAAAAAAAGCAAAATGATGTGAAATACAAGTGGTCCATCCTGTTAGTCTGGCACGCCATTGACTCAGTGAGCTTTAGCATAGCATTTTAAAGGGCTAGCCATGTAGCGGTGGTGAAATTTTAATATTTTGACAGCTGGCTAGCTGCGTTAACATCTGGAAACATAAAGTCCACTGCCCACCCTCTGGTCTCCACTGGTTAGCCATCGTCAGGCTTGGTCGCTTTGCACTGCACACCACCAGGAAGCTAGCTGGAAGCTACCTAGCTACGCTACTAATCCTGCAATTACTGCTGGTAATGCTGACCCCAGGGCGAGATGGCGTTGCTGTGGAAATGTTAGCTATCCTGCTGGGCTTCCCCCAGGTAGCCTAGATGAGTTAGCGGCTTCATACTTAGCCGCAAACCCCCTTTAGCATTGTTAATTATGCTAGCATCACTTGTCCCTTTGACAGTGCTAACCGTGCTAACAGAGCTAACAGTTATAACATAGATAACAATGCTAAAGGAGGTTTGTGGCTCAAAATTGAGTGACCTGGCAGGAGTATAGTTTTGCTAGCAGTAATCGCCGAATGAGCAGTGCCGCCACCTAGCTCGCATCAGACCTGAAGGTGCACAGTGCAGTAAACTTAAGACTACCAGAATGAACCTATAGACTGAAATGCGTAACTAGTCAAAAATATTCATGGTGGTCAACCGAATAATGGTTAATTGTTGACGTCCCGACTCCCTAGTTTTAAGTGTAGACGTTAGGGATGACCTATTGTTCAAAACCGAATTCCCAGTGATATAAAACATAAGATAAAAGTGACAAATCCTCAAATTTTATTCGTCATTTCAATGTTATATCATGATAAAGTTATTATCAAAATGGTTGTCGATTGAACTTCTGTCAATCAACTTGTCATTTCAGCTCTAGTAGAAACTATAGTTGCAGTATTTGAAGATTCTTCACATGATTTTCCCTTTTTACAAAATTGAGAAACACGAATGTAGGACAAAGGGCGTCAGTCTGCCTCTTACAGCCTGATATCCATGAATGACAGTGATTGGCTGTTGCAGTGAGTGTGACCTGTGTGACCAAGAGTAACCTCAAGCTACTACGGGTCATTAGCAGGAGATTACTCAGACAGACATAAGCGTACACACACACACACACAAACAGTATACTGAAGCTTGTACAGTGAACACCCACTGGGCTTGTTGAGCTACTCACCCTTAACTAATATACAGTAATAAACAAACAGGTCTGTGTGTGTGTTGCTATACTGTCATTTTGGTTTATGTGCATTAGTGTGTGTATATCTTTGCCTCCTCTTTGTTGCACCAGCCTCTCCCTGACTTGGTGTGTTAGCATGATTTATGGTTAGTGGATGGAAGTGTCTTTGTGTTGTGTATCACTGAGCAAATGTATCACGAAGGCTCGTTTGTGTGTATTCCCACAGTAACATTCACATAGTGATCAGACCTTGAGCTGAAGCCTTTTCTTCCTCCTCCTCCTCCTCCTCCTGTCCTCTCTTTTCATCGTTTCATCCCTTAAGATGATGATGTGGTTGAAACTGCCTCTGGGCTGGAGAAAGAAATCCTTCAAAAAGGAAATAAATAAGAAAACGTAGCCTGAGGAACACCGCAGTGAAAGGAGGCGAGGAATAGCAAGGGAACATGTAATGTGCTTTTTAATAAGATCTCAGCTCGTACAAATTAGGGCTGTGTTTCATAAATGTTAGCACTTACTTACAGACTGAATAAGATGTGATTTGTGCATTGTGATTTTCAAAGGAACTCTGAATGAAAATGTCAAATTCTTGGGTGTTTTTTGAATTCATATATGTGCATCTGATGCTTTCATTAGTCAGTATTGTTATGGATTGATTTTATGGAAGGTAGCTGTAGGTAGTTTGAGTTGACCAGTTGCTCACTGAGCTGTAGCACCTAGCAGGCAGGTTCAGGTGGTTATTGTGAGAACACATTTCATAGTGACAGGTGTCTTGAGAAGAGGAGGGGGGTGTTTATCGAGCTGCCACTCACCATGTTTCCACTCACCCCTCATGGAGAAAAGGTCAACCCACCAGTCACCTCTGTAATTTCCACTTATATGTGCGCATGGGGCTGGGTTGTCTACATGAGGAAATGCAACATTTGTACTTTCTCCGTTTCCTCGCCTCTTAGTCCCTCCTACACAGATAATGTGAAGATCTGTCCAGTGAGTAATAAGAACGAACGAGTTACTGCCGGTGCTGTATTTATTTTGCTTGTCACTGAGGTCCTCCCACATGACAAAACAATATGAAATATTAGTCTGTGTGTGTTTTGTTTTTCCCCCATAAAATTGTTATTTGTGTCTTCATTTATTGATGTTCTGCTTGTAAATGTAATAATCCAGCATATGGTAAGAATAATGTGTGAATGCGTGACGCCCCTAGATCATTATCTCTTTGTAGTTTCCTGATCTGAGGTTCGTGGTCTTATGTGTGCAGTGGAGCAAGCCCTTAATACAGCCTAAAAGGGATAGTGCACCCAAAAATGAAAATTCAGCCATTATCTACTCACCCATATGCCGAGGGAGGCTCAGGTGAAGAATTTTCCTAGTCAACCAATAGTCGTCATTTAGGGCCATTAGTCGACAAGTTGCCTGCATGTTTATGATATTTATTTTATTATTCAATTATATATTTTGGGCGGGGCAACACAATGGTTTGAGTTGAAGGTGTGAGAAAGAATAGTATCAGTAACATTGTTCACACTGTGCTTCATTACAGAGAAATACAAAACCATACTAATGAACCTTCATTAATATAGGCCTATATTTTATCTACAAGTACACATCACACACTGAGCGAGCCGCCTGTTAATGATGCTGTCAGCAAAGCAGTAATGATTGTGCTAAGTGGCTAATGGACATGTAGCTACTTCCATGTTTCAGATGATACATCATGTTTGTAGTCGACCAATGAAGATGAGTTTACATATCACCTTGGGTTCGTCCTTCACCTTCTCAAAATGATCCCACACTTTAGATTTCCTGCCTGACATGTTATTAACTAGCCTGTGTGATAAGCGCAGGTACCAGCCCTGGAAATTAGGGGCTGTACACATGCTGCGTTTTTACCCGCCTAGAAACGATGGTTGTGTCAGGGGTTTCTAAGCAACCTTAACAAGCATCATATAGCCTATTTACATGAGTGCAGAGCTGATCTTCTTCTAGACGCTGTTCATAACTGTGGAGGCCTATCGTCCATGGGACAGATGTAAAGCTCTGGGGAGCCCTGCACTAACATGATCAACTTTTCTGTATTTATCAGACTGAATATTTACAGAAGAAGGGAAAGATATCTGTCGGCTGTGATTGGTTTGTAACGTGACTCCTGTCTGACTGCTGAGATTTATTTTGATAAGGCACAGCTCCTAATAGAGTTTCACGTTCTTTTGGGGGTGTTTTTTTTCCTGCGACTAAGCGACCAATGAAATATTGCCGAATAATGACCTTTCTTGGTCGACTAACGCTTGGTCAGCTCTTAGGGGGCAGCCCTACTGCTACCAGTGTATCGACACTGCAGAAAATGAGTATTGTAACTTTTATTTTAGTATTTAGAATCAATAGATCAATCAGAATCAATGTTTTTGACAGTACTAGTAACCATTGTAATTAACAGGAAGTTAAGGGGCAGAACAGAGTGTATTTCATGATGGTGGACCGGAATAATTTCCTGGTCCCGCAAAGATCAAGGAGTAATGATTGATCAAACAAGGGATTTGAGATGTACCTTTTTTCAATATTTACATGATATGAAAGACATTGGGTCCGTAACTTTCTTTTCAGTCATTAATTTAGCCTAAAATCCAAGATTATTGCGTAGTTATCGAGAAAACCAGGCCTGGAATGTCTTAGTTGCAGGTCAGCAGTCTTCAGAGTTTTTAGAAATGGAGTGAATATGAAGCGGCAAGTCTGACAACACGCCGGTCGGCTTATCAGTTAGCCAATCATTCACAAAAAACCTGTCTGACAGCTTGTCAGTCAGTTAACCATCTTCGAAGTGTGACAGTTACTCATCCGCTCAAACAGATTAAGTAATCTCTGAGGATTACATCAAGAAGAGTTACACTTAATCCCTTCCTAAATGACAAGTCACAGCAGTCAAAAATCATCACATTCATCATCTTGACTGCATGTTGTGTTGCTCCGTGCTCGGCTGCTGGAAAGGATGACAGATTGTTATGACAATTTGTTGACATATACCAGTCGGTCATATCCACTCTATGAAGATGAATGACCTCTTCGTAGACTAGGACAACAGGAACCTCACTACTGTCTCGTTCAGTCAGCATTTCTCATTCAAAGAAAGGACTTATTGGAGGTGGTGACTGGAAAGTCAACACTTTGGGTGCAGCCAGAGTTTAATAGGCCAATAGGACATTTGTGAACTAGTAGCAGTGAGGGGATCAGTGTGTTGCCAGTGACAGTTTAGCACCTGTTGTTGTTTAAAAATGGCCCTCATTTCGATGCTAATTATGAACTATAGCACATTTGTACTGTAGTTGGCTTATATTGGCTTACTTCTGGTGGGCATTAATAAGGTCATAAATCCTGTCTGTATTTTGTTTTTATGGGTGGGATTAATTGTACTGCAGTGTCAGGCTACCGCTGCTGAATGCAGAGCAAATGCTGCAGTATCTTGACTCCTGTGACTGTCTATGATGACACAAACAGCCCCCCTGTTCAATCTGCCATCATTACACCTTGGCCCTTGATACCATAACACCATCAGTAAGCCTTTCACAGCCTCTCGCGACCACTGCCACTGCTCCCGCCATGGAAATGAAATCAATAAATGAGGTCAGCAGATCTGCTGCTGTCAACTGTTTGGCAGAGGAGTGAGAGGATGTGGTCATCATGGCACTAACAGGGTTACTGGTTCGATCTTTTTGTGTAGGCAGAAGGGGAGAGAGAAACGCAAACACTGGCGTGGTTAGAGCTTCAATAAAAGGCAAGAGGTTGGCGTTTGTTATGTCATATGTTACTTTGGGGAAAATTTTCTAAGGGCAGATAGGGAAATTAAAAAGGGTGTAGATGTCCTGTAACTTCTGATTGCCTTTACAAATGTTGATACTGAGAAACAAACTTTGGTTCAGACTGAAATACTCAACAAATTGCGGATCCGTCAGCATCAGTCCTTCCAACTGTCCTCTGTCCTCCTTCCTCTGCTGCTGAGGTGATTCACTGCCTATAGGTATGGCCGGTAAATTTTAAGATTTGTGGCAAACTAAGCTAAACAGTTGGACTACAATCAGACAGCTTTTGTTTTAGCTTGCTTGTAACTATGTACTATTAGCTGAGCTAGTGGGCTGCACCTGTGTGAAACATCGCAGCAGTGTGTGAGACTGCTGACAGAGCAGAGTAAAGATTGCTTCTCTACATGTTTAAATGTTTATGCTTGTTGAACACGTATATTGATAAAGCACTGGCCTTAGGCTCGCAAAGATTTTATGTCACGTACTTACAGTAACGAGCGCAGTTGTTGTCAACTCCAGTAATCTTAATTTCGTCTCCATAGACTCTGCTCTGCTGTAAGCTGGCTTCACTTTGTGTTGTGTGTGTGAATGTGTATGTGCATGTATAGGATGCTGGCCCCGATGCACAGAGAGGAGAGGAGCGTCAGCATCATGATAATAAATTACATCATAACCTTAAAATGTTCCAATAAAGAGCTTATCAATACTAAAGTCTTTAATAATTCAGGCTTGGGGCTGTTTTAGACACGATTTCAGCACCTATCCCAAGAGTAAATTGCAGTGGCTCTGGGGATTTAGTTTTTCATCTAGCACCATTATCAGGTGCAGATAAAATTTGTCAATACCGTAGTTTACGACCAAATGCCTATAAATCTAACACACCCATCAGCTGGGTTTGTATCTGGATTAGGCTATGTCTACTCTAGTTTTTGCACCAACTACTTTTTTTATTTCACTTTCTTTTATTATGTCTATGTTATGTATCAAGACACAAAGTATATTTAGTATATGTGAAAACCTACTGATTCAGATTTAGCTTAAGCTTTGTGTTTAAGTCCAGTTTATGACAAAGGGGGTGGTAATTACTGCTAGTTTTCTATGTATTAGGTTTTGATAAGGTAAGAAGAAGAGGAAAAAGACCGCACTGCCATACCAACAATAGCCCCTGCACTTTTGTGTCCCCACAGGGTTGCCGTCCGCCATGTTAAGGTAAAGCCCAGGTGCGCGGTGTTGACCATGCTAAAGCGCCTGGACAAGATCCGCTTCCGAGGCCCCAGGACGAGAGAGGACTTCCCGGATCTGGCCGAGTCGCCGCCCGCCTCTGACAACGAATGTAGCGATGACATGCAGCTGAAGCCCAGGACAGCTCTGCGCGACACAGAGGAGATCCTGCGAGACCCTGTGAGTGCTCATCATGCTCAGACATGCTTGAATGCGTGTGTTTAGGCTGGAGATTTGACTCATGGTCACATTTGCAGTTGATTGAGTTTCATGGAGGAAGCAGAAAGTGATTAGTTTCATTTCCTGTTCCTTTTTTTCCGTTTCTGTTTCCCTTCAATTCTATCTATCTTCATCTTTATATCTCTCTGCATCTGTATTTGTCATACTGAATACATGGCTATCTTGCTTTTGTCTTATATACACACGTTTAGCCTTGACGTGCTAGGACAAACACATATGGCGGTGTTTATTAATGTAGGCTACTCATGAATTATTCTGTCTGAAAAGGACGCTCTGACCTCGGCATGACTCTAGCATCATATCCAGAATAACACAAAAACAGAGGGAGGGAGAGACGCAGTAGACGCTGTTTCACCTGTTTGATGTTTTCTTAGCACCCTTAGTTTAGGGCTAAAAATGACAGTACGTTGTTTTGTTCAATCCCACTTGTTTTTGGTTACTCTGAAGAGGAAAGGAAGACTGATGGAGGGTGGGGTTGTTACAATAAAGAAAAATGGAGGAGATGACAGCGATACAGATTTGCCGATGGGGGACATGGAATAGAGATGGCAATCGACAGCAGACAGGAGCAGAAATAGTGAAAGCAGCGTTGAGATGAACAGATATTGGATCGCAGGAAGGGGATGAAAAATGGAGGGAGAGAAAAGATTAAAGCGAAGAAGGTGATAAAGGGGGCCAGAGGACAGGAACTGAGCCTCGGAAGATTGGACTCTGAGATGTCTGGAGGGGAGGAGATGGACAGGGTGAAGAGGAAATGCTGAGAAAGGACAAAGACGCTAGCCTTGACTAAAAAACATCCACATCATGTTTTGATATTTCTCCCTCCCATTCTAGATCCTGTTCATATTTAATGAAATCTGCAGCTCTCTCTTCCTTGTCGGTGACTAAACCGGCAGTATTGTCGTCATCATCATTCACTCACACTGATAGGAAGATACAGGCATTAAAAACACCAGATTAGTCACTTGATGGTATCATTTCCTGAATGAAGGCTCCAGGATCTCTTTCACTTTCTCTCTTTTGTTTTCCGAAAATAGACAGCTGATATGACTGTTGCATGGAAGGTACTCTGTGGGTTTTCCTGCATCCCAGTGAAAGCTGCAGTGCACAAGGCCAGGTGGTAAATGAGTGGTACTCAGAGACAGAGTACATCATTAGACAGTGACATCAGTTAGGGGGCAGTTTTTTTCACTTGTCAGCAATCTAGCTGACTGCAGTCCCTTTCAGCGTACTTTGTGGGCATGTGCAACATGTGTCTGTGTTTGCGTGTGTGCACCTGAGCCTTCTTGTGTGCACAAGTGTGTCTGTAGGCTGGTGTTTGTATGTCATGTGTGCTGGTGTTTGCCTGCGTTGGAACCATCCCACTGGGAGGGCATCGCCCACATCACGGCACTGATGAGTCACACTCCGTAGCCCCAAAATAGACCAAGCTAGCTGCCATTCCTGCTGTGACACACACACACACACACACACACACACACACACACACACAAACACAGACACACAAGAGACATGCAGTCTCTCTCCCACCAATCGTGCTGTTGCATTCAAAATCTTAAAGCTGCCACTGCTTGGTTGAAATATCATCTTCCCTGCGTAGCACTCTACTGGCACGTTGGAGCCCACCCAGACACACTCCAGGACCAGATTACATGACCTGCCTCTAAACTTCACCTTTATTACCTCATATGTTAAAAAGAAGACAGAGCGTGCCCTTGGGCTACATGCACTGAGACTTTTTGACAAACTAGCTTGTGTCATCCATACTAAACAGGCAGAATGTCACTGGGCAGATGGTGTTCAGTCATTGCACAGACGACTGCGTATGACCTTAGTGGCCTCTTCTCGCTTTTCTGCGAGATCAGGTGGCTGCCTCACTGCACATGTCATACTTTGTGTCATCTAGTCATTATCTATAGCAAATCTAAAATACATTTAGAATTGCAGACAGGTGTGATGTGATGCAGGTCAAGACAGTGCCTGATATTAAGATATTGCTAGGTTTTACAGCCCTACAAATGTCAGCTTTATTGGTATTATTGCACAATGATTAATGAGCATTTACATATGAAATATCTCTCAAAGCATTGTCAGTATTAAAAATGATGATCAGAAGCCACTTAACCAACCATCAGTGCTGAGCAGCTCTTCAATTTGCCACTCTGTGCAGGAGTCAGTGCTTTCAGTAGCGGGTCATGAATGCTTGAGCCTGTCATCATGTCCACAGGATTTAAAATCAAGTCTCTTATCTCTTCCAGTTTCATAGTAAGGGCCAGAGATAAACCCTATGGCAGAGAAGTCCAAAAGCGCACTGAATACTGAAGTCAAACCACAAGTTGTTTTTTTATGGTTTTGACTTTTGTCCTACCCAGAATACATACGATGTGGGTTTTTGCCAGCTAGCTGTTGCTGTGGATTGCAACCTTGCAGCTGATGCTGCTTTAGAGGGTTGTGGTTTACTGAGACGCTTGCTGCTGAAACCCCCGTGTCTAATTTTTGTTCTGTGGCATGAGTTGCCTGTCTGGTCTGAGCTTAGTCTAATCTGATGATTTTTTTTTTTGTTTAGCTGTTTCATTTTTATTTAAAGTGGCAATAAATGAGTGTGCAAATGTTGCAGAATTGCACCCCTGGTCCACTGTCTGTAACTAACTTGAGTTCTACACACAGTTTTTGCTTGTGCACCATTTTAAAAAGTCAGGGAATCAGAGGGTTAACAGGAAATCAGGTTAGGTAGGGAGGTGGGTACATGGTTTCTCAGAAAAATAAAAGTGAAAGTAGAACAGGATGTCTGTCAAGTTGAGAGTAATCACGATATCTTCTACACTGTTAGCACTTTCTACCATTAGCAGAGGAATCACATTTCCTGCTGGTTCATTTTATACATTTTTTAGCGATGCACAATATGTATCTTTTTTACAGATAACCTGCTTCTCATGGCCAATAACATAACAGATTATTTTGCATTTTTGTATTAAAAAAAAAGAAGAACCAGAGGGTTAGAAATGCAAAGATGTAGTGAGAAAATATGGATAATCTGACCTAACCAAATCTCACTGACAACACTATTTTTACACAACAGAAACGAGAAACGGTTCTGACTCTTCAAATGTTAATTTGTTTCTTCTTGTAAAGTATGTCAAAAAAACTTCCTACACTTACTTTTGTTTTCATAGAGCATTTTGCCTAACAGTTGAAAATAAATGCTTTGACATAATCTGTCAAAACAGCAACGTCAACATATTATACACAAGTAATTGAACCATAAAGTAAAGTACCTACTTCTTCTTGCGGGGACACAAGGAAACTACTGCTGCAGATGTTTGAGCTCTGCGCAAGGGGCAGTTGCTGACCATCTGCCAGCACACACCCAGTGACAGTGCTAGCTGTAGCAGCACATTGCAAGTGTTAACTGAATACGCTTTTATGTCTGGAACCTCCCATCTACAACGGGCTTGAGACGTGCCCTCGTTGAGGGCTTGGCTCTGATTCCGGAGTTACTCATCTGCCGAACCAAACGGGATCAGATCAGACACGGCTAGCGTTACCAACCGGTTAATAATGGGTTTAACCACAGAGTTGAGCCTCTTTTGGTGACTGGACCGTTTAAAGGCTCTGCGTTGGATGTGAGCCACTGCTGCTGTGTTAGCACGTGCTAACTGGGCAGATACTGACCATTTGCTGGTAAGACAGCGGCTCTGGAGACAGTCTTTCAGCACTGCATCTAACCTGTTAAACAGCAGCAGGAAGTTTGCTGATCTAATGGGGAGTCTGGCAATCGGGGATCAGACCTTTGGCATAATCGTGTTGTCTATCTCAGAAACAGTGAAGGACGTCCACACTATTGAAACGACATGTTTGGCTCTCTAGTTAATGTGCTGCACTTGTGCTTCTTCTATGTGTTTATTGGAGGCTTGCGAACCACCTCAAAAGCGTACTGCCACACACTGTGTTGGGGTGTGTAGATGCTGCCTTTGGTAAGCCAATGGGAGCAATTTGGCTTTGTTTTATTGGTGTAATTTATCAGCTATAATCTCTTAATTAGAATAATGCATAATAATATCAATTTCCCATTGTCAGACGATAATTTATCAACCTTAAATATATCGTGCATCTTTATTATTTTTCTGAATTAAACTGTTACTGATGACAGCATAGTAATGTAGCATCTTGTGCCATAAATGCCTGATATTCACAATCACATTTTCACTAACTTTTTTACGCTTTATTGTCTTGACGTCTTTACATTCACACATTTTATAAAATAGAAGTGGCACACCCATGTAGTCAGTGTCCATTGTGCAATAACACTTTCTGTGACAAACTAGGTATCTTTCTAAATTGTTAGTTATTGGACATGGCTGATTAAAGACTACCACCAGCCTGCTGGACTGACAATCTGCCAAATAAGGAGAAGGTCTCTTGTGATACGTGTGTTCATGAGCAGATCAGGGCCTTGAAATCACACCTCCTGTATTTCCCTATCCTACTGTGAGACACATTTAGCCCCATGAGGAGGTTGCAGGCCTAAAAAGCACAACATGGAAGAAAGAGTATTTAAAAAGTGTGTGAGATCCCCAGAGCTGTTCTCGAGGATGAACCAGACATTTCTGTGTCAGTTCTGTGCTGAGGCAACCCATGGACAGTGTCCTAGAGGCTGAACATGGAGAGAAGAGGAATGGATTGAGGAGAAGAAAGGATCAGCTGAGAAGTACAACAGATGACTGAGGAGCGTGAGCGGGAGGATAAGGAGATCAGTCAGCACAAGTCTCTAAACAAGAGGCAAAGAAAGATGTGGCAGACAGCATTGAGATCTTCACTGTCTCCAAACAGAGAGGAAAGGCTCACTGGAAAGAGCTTACTGGAAAGAAGCAGAACGGAGAGGAGACACAATAAAATATTTTTAACACAGCTAAATAGAACTAGAGCTGAAAAGCAAGAAT